CAGTAAGGGGCCCAATCGTGCTATTAATGGGCTGCAGCGCTAACCGGGGCCCTGAGACCATATGCCCATTGGATGGCCCTAAGTGCATGGGACACCAGTTGTTCCTCATCAGCATGCAGGCCCCGGTGCATCTGCACCGCCGGCAGTTCTACTGCTACAGATAAGTAATGTTGGGCCCGGGTGGCAGGGCCCTCCAGGACCACCAGGCCTGTGACAGTTGTCATGGTTGTAACCCCCTGAAGGCGGCCCTGATAGTGATTAAAGCTCAAGAAGAGACCCATTGGATACTACAAGGAAACTCATATCATGGGGAAATAATACAGTTTATTGATGCAAATTATTTCAGGCAGGTTAATACAGATATGAAAGATGAAAATATCACAAGTAGAGCACTGTTTGGAAGGTATACTAAGAAAGAGGATGGTAGCAAAGGGGTTCACATAAAATAAACAGCACTTAGTTTTACTGAATCCCAGAAATAATTGAATTGACTGGGACTCAGTGCAATACCTGCTGTGCATCACACATGCATTGGTTTTTAAACTATAATCAAGAGGACACCATTCTAAAGAATCTAGTATTTTAAAACACATTCAACCCAACAGAAATCCTGTAATTTAATATAATTGCATTCTATTCCATACAAAAGGAATCTAGCAGCTCCAAGAGATGTCATATAAACACATAATGCGTTCACCAAAGTGATACATATTCACCAGCATATAAGGTAAGATACAATTTAGAAGACACATGATTTTAAAAGGATATGGAACATAGCACATAATGTATTGTAAGTACTATAATATGATAATGTAGCACAGCTGGATACTATAAACACCTTTAACACATTATCAACATTACAAGGTGTCAGTATGTCCTAAATATTCTGGGCTTTAATACTGTTAGGGTATACTGACATGTCCTGCAGTTTTTGTGTGTGCTAAAGGTTAAATCAATTGATACCTTGGACTCCCATCTGACAGCTGTGACCATTTTAGTGGCCCCAGACTGTATGAGCTATTTGCCCTGCTCAAAGTAAGCGGTGCATATAGTCTGTAAATAGGGATTTAAATTCCCAATGATGGTAATGAGTTACCGTATGGTTAGGGTAGTGGTGAGGCTACAAGTAGGTTTATGGTTACATTTAGTTACCTGTTGGGGAGGTTTATGTTAGTGTTACGGTAAGGATTAATGCTTAGTTAGGGTTAATGTTGTTTTAGGGTTTAGAATAGTGTATGGATATTGGTAAAGTTAGCGTAAGTATACGGTTATCATTAGTGTAAGCATTTGCTTAGGGATAAGGTTGTTATAGAGATAGTTGGGGGTTGGTAAAGGACTAACATATATATAGATCCTAGACATGTAAGACATTTAACAACCAGGATAATAACCATGATAATACAAGGATCTATTTTTAGTTATTTTTCTGTAGTCGCACTGGATGTGTAAAAATTATTTTAAAGGGACAATATAGTCACCAGAACAATTACAGTTTATTGCATTTGTTCTGGTGAGTAGAATCATTCCCCGGAGGCTTTTTGCTGTTAACAGTGTCTTTTCAGAGAAATGCAGTGTATACATTACAGCCTTGTGATAACTCCACTGATCACTCCTTAGATGGCTGCTAGAGGTGCTTCCTTGGTCAGTGCTGCAGAGTGTCACAGCTCCCCGCTCTTCGGGCCGCACATAAACTAAGCAGCCATGCCGACAGAGATATTGTATACTTACCTTGGTCGCGGCCAACCGCTGCCCGACCTCCTTCCATTCCGATCCCCAGCAAGTACAACGTTCCTAGAGGCCGTTGCGGTTCCGGTTTTAATAGGAAACTCACCTGAAAGATGGTGCCAACATGCGTGCGACGTCACATCATAGATACACGTTTTGGGGTCACAGGCCAATTACAGCCTCAAGGGGTTATTTAAACCCAGATTATCTTTTGGTCAGTGCCCTGTCGTGGGTTTCCACTAGCTGGTTATCCGAGAGTGTGTTCCTGATTATGTTTTTCTGGTATTTGACTTTGGGTTAATTTTGACTTCCCTCCTTGACTTTTGGCTTTCGCCATCGTTGTGTCTCATTCTATGTCCCTGACCTTGGCAAGTATTCTGACTATTCTCTGTTAAGTCCGACCATTCTAAGGTCTGGTTAGACATTATCCTTAGTCTTTAGGTGTGATACAATTCTGCGTGCTGAATCCAATATAATCCTGACACAGAGTAAGCAGCACTGCCATTCAGTGTCTCCACCCTCTGTGTGCAAACACTGATCTTTCCTCATAGAGATGCATTGATTTAATGAATCTCTATGAGGAGATGCTGATTGTTTGGGCTGTGTTTGACTTGTGCTGGCTCTGCCCCTGATCTGCCTCCTTGACAGTCTTAGCCAATCCTATGGGGAAGCACTGTGATGGGCTCAGACCACCACTTCTGATGATGTCAGCAGACAGAGGCAGTTTACAGACAAACAGGGGCAGAGCCAAGAGCTGCAGACATGAATTCATGTAAGATTTTACTATGTTTAGGGAGGCAAGTGGGGTCCAGAGGGGCTAGATGGTGGGTTTTAACACTATAGGGTTAGGAATACGTTTTTATTCCTGACCGTATAGAGCTCATTAAGCAAAAATGTGAAAAATGCTTTTAGGGAGTCAGAGAGTGGGAGGAAGTGAATTCAGATTCAGATTCAACTTTATTGTCATTGTTCCATATACAAACAAGGGCAATGAAACACATTTGGCCTCTGAACAGATATGCAACAGTAATTTAAAATACTATTAAAAAAATGTACTTCCGGTGTAAGCTTTACTATTATTATTATTAATAATTTTTTATTATTTCTATAGCAGCAACAAATTCCACAGCGCTTTACAGTGGGTGGACAAACAAACATGTAGTTGTAACCAGACAAGCTGGACACACAGGAACAAAGGAGTTGAGGGCCCTGCTCAATGAGCTTACATGCTAGAGGGAGTGGGGTAAAATTACACAAAAGGTAAGGATAGTATTAGACTAATGACAGTTGCAAGAGAGGAATCAGTTGGGAGCTATAAACAGTTTAATTGATACTCTTTTATGAAGAAGTGGGTTTTAAATTTTTTTTTTTGAAGGAGTAGAGATTGGGCGAGCATCTATCGGAGGAGTGAATTGAGTTCCACAGGAACGGTGCAGCCCTCGAGAAGTTTTGAAGGCGAGCATCAGTGATGGGAGTACAGACAAGAAGATAGACGTAAGTCTTCAGCAGAGCGTTAGGGCCTAGACAGGACATACTTGTGTATTAGGGAGGATAGATAGGTGAGAGCAGCATTATGTAGAGATTTGAAAGCAAGAACCAACATTTAAAATTAAGCCATATATCTTACAGGAAGTCAATGTAGGTACTGACAGAGAGGTGCGGGCAGACAGAAAGATGAGCCTCACTGCTGCATTTATTATGCACTATAACGGTGCAAGTTGGGAGCATGTAAGACCACTGAGAAGCGGATTACAGTAGTCAAGGCAATAAAAGACAATGAAATGGACCAGCACCTTAGTCGCATCTGGCGTTAAGTAGGGTCGGATGCACGCAGCGTTTTTGAGATGGAAGCGGCAGGATTTGACAATCAACTGAACATTAGGCATGAAGGAGAGGTCGGAGGGGTGGAGCTTTATACTTGATACTACAATTCCTTAATACTTAAGAATACATTACTTCTATATTGCTACCAATTTCTAGCCTAAAAATAGATCGACATTATAATAGTGCCACCATATACAAATCCAACACACAATGTAAGTAAAACTTAAGTGTACCAACTGCCATTCAGTTAATACTCTAATGTAAATAAATATCCAATCCGCATCTTAATCATGTGACATAAAAGTGCCCAATGTGTTCTCAAAGCCACATGCATAAAGTGCAAAATATGAGCACATAAACCATGTACATAGAGTGCAAAAAGGGCACATATGGAAAGTGCAAAATGTAAGCACATAAAATGTGAACACATGGGGGCGGGCCTGTCCGCCATGCTGTCCGGTGTGGCAAAACTAGCCACTTAAGACTGTATGTTCATTAATGTGATGGTGTGGCAAAACTAGCCACTTAAGACTGTATGTTCATTAATGTGATGCTGTGGCTTTAAGGCTATCCGAACTGAATGTATTCCCCTGTCTATATTTGATGCGAGCGAGAGCATTCATATGCTGGCAGCATGAACGTCACCAGCATTCATACAGTAGTTTTACGAACAATGAATTTCAACACTGTTCATGAAACGAACAAACTACCGAATGGGAGACCACACACAGGAGGTCGTGTGGCTCCCATTAAGTATTGCAACATTGTATCTTTCAGTAGTTAATGGATGATCAAGGTGGCCGCCGTTCGACGAAACTGATGAATTCCCAATACTAACCTTCTCGGAATATAATCTGGCTCCTACAGCCTTAATTTGAGCCAAGGGGGAACTGCACTGTGCTTGAGCTGAAGTGGGCACAACAGCAGGCTCTGAGATCGGGAGCTCTGGGGCTCCATGGGCTGGACAGGGCTTGGGAGCTTGCGGACACATGAGAGAAGCAGGACGGATGACCAACGCTGGCTGCCACACGACTACTCTATGACAAGTCTCACAGGCTCTTCCCCCCCCCCCTCTGAACCAGGGGGGGTCATCCCGGTCTCCACTGGAGAATACCGATGCGTTCCTCAACGAAGCCTGTGAGGCAAACTCCAAATGCCCCAATCTAAAATAGCCGCCGCACTGACTAGCCGACACGCGGCACCCAGAGAAACCCCTATCTACCAACAAGGGGACTGAGTGAACCCCTGGCCCCAGCAACACCTGTCACCTGTCACCTGTCAGATTCTATCTACTCGAGCCAGCCGGTATGACACCCCACAAGGTAGCGCTACACTCTGGAGGGAGGCCCAAGCATGAGACACACATTCAGCTCCTGGTCACCTGGGCCGGGCTCCAGCCGACCACCCACTACTCCACATCCGAGCTCAAGCCTAGGAGAGAGAAGAGCTGGCACAACATGATCAGCATGGGGCATGTAAGAACAGCTCGTCACCTGACCACCCTGTCTTCCAGAGACACACAACCACCTACCCGATTTGTTGTCTGGCTGCGCCCAGTAGATATACCCGGTTGTATTAATCAAATTTAGATTCAGCTGGGTAGCCATTCTTATTCTGGTTTTCTCCAAGAGCAGGGGGCGCAGGAGGTTCAATCATGTTCTTTTAAAGTTTTCTCTTGATGTTATCTGGACAGTGTGCGGTACCCAGTGGAATATTAGCCTGTACTAGCATGTTAACCTAATGTGATACTTACTCATACCTCCATGTCTAGCTAGTTATGTAAGTCACAAAACTAAACGTATGCATTTCTAGTTACATCTCTTATGCTAGCTTACGTTCAGATCTCTAATACCTAGACTTGACTGAATAGCCTAAACGTACTTTCATTTTTATACCTATCTCCGCTGCCTTTGAAAGCCCACATTTACGTACTTTAGCAGGAATATACGTTTAATGTCGCAAGCTTGTCAACCCCTATGTGACCCACCACATTAGACATGTTGATTCAGCATACACTCAACCTAATACTTCCTCGACAGTACCTGTTTAACCGAAACAACTTTTAGTCCACACTGACATAAGTACAAGTCCCAGACTAATCAAATATCATCGGCAGACATAACTCTTGAATTGCTGTTTCTTTACCTATATAACCTGTGCCAAGTTACTCGTAAGCATGTTCATAAAAACAAAAAATGTGCTGTATTTCCTCTTGACGTATACTGTCTACCTTGAGATGCTAGTAATTGCTGTTGTGGCATTACCGGCACGCATGTACCTTTTAAGCACATCAAAAATAAAGAATTTAAAAAAAAAATGTGAACACATCAATCACGTGCAAAAATACATATGCATATAAAGTGCAAAATATGAACACTCAATCATATATATGAAGTTGCAGAACATGATCATATTGACCATGTACTTAAGTACAATGTGGGTACAATAGAGTTATGTGAACACATAATCGTGTTAACAAAAGTGCATAATTCAATCTCAGAACAGATAAAAGCACATAATCTTGTGATACCATTTCACTATCAGCAATACATTAGTAAACGAGAGACTGTTAAAGATTACTACAGCAGTTCATGTATGATTTAGCTGTATTCAGGGCCAGATTAAGAGCCTAGTGCACCTGGTGTTGACAATTATGATGGACCTAATTACAAAATCTTATTGACCAAAAACACTAAAATAGTCCTACCTCCTAAGCGTCATGTATCTGATGGAGATGGTGCTGGAGGAAATCTCATAGGATGCAGCCATGATAAAACACATAACCTATGCTAATCTCATGCTTTCAAGTAAACCCATACCCCCTAACAGCAGTGTCCAGTAACTCAGGAAGTCTATGGATGGGGTAAAAGGGTAGGCCACTGACACAAATCACATAACCAGAAGTGCCGAAAGGGACGAACATACACAAAAATGGGGCATTTCTGTGTCCCCATGTCTCCCAGTCCCTTAGTGTCTGTGTCCCCATGTATCCCACTGTCCCTGTATCACTAGGACACTAGGGGACATTGAGAGACACTGGGAGACCTGGGGACACTGAGATACTACGGCACACTGGGAGACCTGGGAACACTGAGACTCATGGGGACACTGGGATACATGGGGACACTGGGTGACTTTGAGACATGAGGGGACACTGGGAGACATGGTGCACTGATACAATGTGATACATAGGGGACACTGTGATATATAGGGAACACTGGAGACTTGATAAAGACTTGGGTACAGGTCAAAAAGTTGCAGAGTTTAATAAACCTGCTTAAATATATCACAGTGAGTGCCTGAGAGTTTTTTATTTTATACTAGGGGCCACTGAGACACTAGGAGACATGGGGACAGTGGGAGACATTGGGACACTGAGACACTGGGAGACTAGGGGACTTTGGGAGAATAGGAAACACTGAGACACTAGGGACACTGGCACACTACGGACATTGAGAGACACCAGGGACATGGGGATACTGAGATACCCCATGTCTCCCAGGTCTCATAGTCGCCCAGTGTCTTCATCTCTCCCTGTGTCCCCCAGTATCCCCATGTCTCCCAGTGTTCCGATGTCACTAGGACACTAGGGAACACTTAGAGACATTGGGACACTGTGAGACATGGGACACTGAGACACTGGGAGAGACATGGGGACACTGAGATATATGGGAACACTGAGAGACTAGGGGACTCTGGGAGACTAGGGACACAGACATAAGGGACACTGAGAGACACCAGGGACACTGGGATACATGGGGACACTGAGAGACACCAGGGACATTGGGAGACATGGGGACACTTAGACACTAGGGACACTGGCTGGGAGACATGGGGACACTGAGAGACTAGGGGCCACTGGGAGACATAGGGCCATTGTGTCCCTAGTGTCTCAGGGTCCCCATGTTCCCCAGTGTCCCTATGTCTCCCAGTGTCCCAATGTCTCAGCGTCCCAAGTCTCGTAGGCTCGGAGCTGCTGTCTGGCCTCTCTGTGCAGAGCTGCTCCCCTGTGGATCAGTGAGTATAGAGAGGCAGGGAGGGAGATGCTGTAACTTCTTATCCCTGCCTCTCTCCACACAAATAGTGACCCCTACTGGCTGGCGCTGGTATTGCAGAATAATCTCTGTTTATACTCTGTTTATTACTGCAATACCCGCACCGGCTAGGCAGCCTCAAATACCTGAGAAATACTTCTGAGAAATACCTGGCAACCATAAGAAATGCATGATAAATACCTGGCAACCCTAAGAGTAGTGAGTAGAAAAAAAAATATTTTTTTAAATCAATGGGCCTATTCCATGGGCCTGGAGCTGCAGCTCCATCAGACCCTATGTTAATCCGGCCCTGGCTGTATTTACTGTACATGGGGTTTATGCTCAAATGCAGACATTCTTTTTGCATTCTTTTGCAATCTTTAGTAAGCTGTACTGCTAGTAATGCCTTTGTGATCCTTACCTGTAAGCAAGAAATTTGACCATTTTTATTTATATATTTTTGTCACACCTACTATATGTGAGAAAAATTAAGATTTTGCATTTATACTAAAATTTCAGACCCTTTGTGGAATATTGCAATACAAAAGGCACTGTATACTGTGTAAAGTGTTGCATTTTCCAAATATTTTTTATAAACAATTAACAAATAAAAGGTAGAAATTGTGTAAATTTACATCATTTTAGTTTTTCAGTTTGTCTGCAAAGCAATTCATACACAAATAGCTGTGTTATGGGATGTTTACATGCTATCTATCCATACCTTGCTACAAATAAATCTGATGCTAATATTTATTTAAATCAACAAGTTGTCAGTTGTGAAGGGGTTAAGTTAAGAGCATTTGCTACCAGGTCCGGAGTGTCACTTTTTTTGTCTGTCAGTATTGGGAATTCATCATGACAAAAACTACAACAAAAGTGTTAAGTACAAGAAATAAAATCCTGGCTTTGCAAAAAGATTGACCTCCTCATTTGGTTTGGCTTTCTGGCCATAAAGAAAAGAATATATTTCCAAGTTCTGGGCAAGCTGGGGCTCAGATCAAGATACCCTGAGGAAGTAAATCAGTATTGATGAAATGCGTTGGGAGAGAGGCAACCCACAAGGACTTCTGTGAGTAGTTGTGAAAGACTCCTGAGGAACAGGCAGGGCCGGATTAAGAGCACAGTGGGCCTAGTGCTGACAATTATGATGGGCCTAATTACGGAATTTTATCGACCAAAAACACTATAACAATCATACCTCCCAAGCGTCATGTATCTGATGGAGATGGTGCTGGAGGGAAACTCATAGGATGCAGCTATAAGAAAACACATACTCTATGCTAATTTCTCTCTAATTTATGCTTTCATCTTTCAAGTAAATCCATAACCCCTAACAGCAGTGTCCAGTGAAGTAGGAAGTCAATGGGCGGGGTAAAAGGGTGGCCACTGGCGCGAATCACGTGACAAGACCTGCCAAAAGGGGTGAACATGCCCAAAAAGGGGGCATGTTTGTCCAAAGAATTGGAAGGTCAGCCTGGTGTGAATGCATGTCAGGCTGCCTGCCAATCCTGCAGGCTGTCCAACTAAGGGCATACTATGCAGGCAGCACCTTGAGCTTGACATAAATGCGTCTAATGATGCGCTCACTCCATTCTTTCTAAGGACTGTCCCATAGCACTCGCTGGTGCACTTGTCTCCTTACCTTCTTACTAGCAGGCAGAAGTTCCTGGTATATAGTCTGAGACAGAGAAAAGGTGTCTGTAGTGAGTGTAGAAGAAAGGGGACATGCCACTGTGTTAGAGAGACCAACGTCTGCATTACCTAAATTAACTTTAATGTCAGCCAGTGCACACAAGTTTTGTTCCCATACATCCCTCTTAAGCTTCCAAACTTAAAGGGACACTATAGTCACCAGAACAACTACAGCTTATTGTATTTGTTCTGGTAAGTAGAATCATTCCATTCAGACTTTTTGAAGTAAACACTGTCTTTTCAGAGAAAATAACTCCACTGGCTGCTCCTTAGATGGCTGCTAGAGGTGCTTCCTGGGGCAGTACTGCCTAGTGTGCAGCACTGCCATTCAGTGTCTCCACCCTCTGCATGCAGACACTGAACTTTCATCATAGAGATGCATTGATTCAATTTATCTTTATGAGGAGATGCTGATTGGCCAGGGCTATGTTGGACTTGTGCTGGCTCTGCCCCTGATCTGCCTAGTTGACAGTCTCAGCCAGTCCTATGGGGAAGTATTGTAATTTGTCAGACCACCACTTCTGAGCCAGCAGCTGCAGAATTGAATACAAGTAATATTTTACTATATTTAGGGAGGCAAGAAGGGGGCAGGGTGGTGGTTTTAACATAATAGGGTCAGGATTGTGTTCCTGACCCTATAGTGCTCCTTTAAGCAATAGTATGTGAAGAGTAGTTAAGGTTTCCACCTTTCTTGGGAAAAAATACCAGCCTTAATCATTTGTATAATTAATTAGTTATGCGTGACATCACATGATGTAAATCACAAGGAGTGATATCAGAGAAAATTCTGTAAAATCACCAACAAACTACTCACAGTTTGATTCTGCTGTATAGATGGATTGCTCCCAGTGTCTCCTTGTCTCCCAGTGTCTCAGTCTCACAAGTCACCTAGTGTCTCAGTGTCCCTATGTATCACAGTGTCAGTGTCCCCATGTCGCTCAGTCCCCTAGTCTCCCAGTGTCTGTGTCCCCATTTCTACCAGTGTCCCAATGTCCCAGTGTGTCCCCATGTCACTAGGATACTGGGGACACTGAGAGATATGGGGACACTGAGAGACCCGGGGACACAGAGAAATGGGGACACTGGGAGACATGGGGACACTGAGACATTTAGGGAAACTGGGAGAAATGGGGACACTGAGACACTAGGGACACAGACACTGGGAGACATGGGGACAGTGAAACATTTGGGGACACTAAGACACTAGGGACAAAGACATGGGAACACAGACACTGGGAGACTAGGGGACACTGGCTGGGAGACAGACACTTGGCGACACTGGGAGACATGGGTACAGTTGTGGACATAGACATGTGGACACTGGGACATATAGGGACACTGGGAGACATGGGGACACCAGGCACACTGAGACACTAGGAACACAGACACTGGGAGACATGGAGACACTGAAACATTTGGGGACACTAAGACACTAGGGACACAGACACTGGGAGACTAGGGGACACTGGAGATTAGGGGACACTGGGAGACTAAGGGACACTGGCTGGGAGACAGTTGTGGACATAGACATGGGGACACTGGGACACATGGGGACACTAGGCACACTGAGAGACATGGGACACAGACACTG